GTATAATCTCGAATCCGATGCAAGACCATCGCAAACTCAACTCTAAGTTGATTTGTGATGAGATTCTATCAGTCGTCAGCGACAACCCATCTTTGAAGGTGAGTACCATAATTGCACATATGGTACAAAGGTACAACTACACTCCTTCGTACCGAAAAGCCTGGATAGCCAGGAATAAAGTTGTTGAAATGGTGTTTGGAAATTGGGAGGAGTCATACAAGGAACTTCCTAAATTCCTAGTAGCCCTTAAACACTACTCTCCAGGAACTGTTGCGATATTGGAGACGATGCCTGCTTGTACACCAGACGGGAGTTATGTTGCTGGAAATGGAATTTTCCACAGAGTCTTTTGGGCGTTCGAACCATGCATCAAAGGGTTTGCATTTTGTAAACCTATAATTCAAATTGACGGAACCTGGCTTTACGGGAAATATAAGGGCACACTTCTAATGGCTGTGGCACAAGACTGGAACAACAACATTTTCCCGATAGCCTTCGCCATAGTTGAAGGGGAGACTGCTGGGGGTTGGAGTTTTTTCTTAAAAAACCTACGCTCTTACGTGTCTCCCCAACCTAACTTATGTTTGATCTCCGATCGACACCCATCCATCGAGAGTGCTTACAACAACCATGACAACGGTTGGCAGGATCCTCCATCGACCCACGTCTATTGCATAAGGCATATTGCCCAAAATTTCATGAGGGAGATCAAAGACAGGACGCTGCGGAAGAAGGTTGTGAACGCGGGGTATGCACTAACTGAACCAACATCCAGATACTACCGTGACGAGATCAGACTGAACAACGCGGATGCATTAAGATGGATTGATGGAATTGATAGGGAGAAATGGACGCGGGCATACGAGAATGGGGTGCAATGGGGCCACATGACAACCAACCTCGTCGAGTCAATGAATTCTGTTTTCAAGGGAATTTGAAACCTCCCAATAACTGCTTTGGTAAAGGCAACCTATTTTAGGATGGGATCACTTTTTGATAGCAGACGTGCGAAGTGGGGTTCGGTATTACAATCAGGTCAGCTGTACAGCGATACTGCAATGAAATTCATGAAAGACGAAGCTGGTAAAGCCAACACACACGTGGTCACAATATTTGACCGTACAGCTGGTTGGTTCAGTGTTGCCGAGGCTATAGATCACAATGAAGGAAGGCCCAAGGGATGTTATCGTGTTGAATTAGATAAGAGCTGGTGTGATTGTGGAAAGTTTCAAGCATTCCGTATGCCTTGCTCTCATGTCATAGCAGCTTGTTCGAAGGCGCGCCAGGACCCAACCAACCTTCTTTCTGCTGTTCACCAAGTCATAAGTCTATGCAATGTCTACTCATGCATTTTTCAGGTGTTGGCAAAGGAAGACTATTGGCCGGAATACGAAGGCCAAATTGTTTGGCATAATGACTTGATGCGCAGAAAAAAGAAGGGTCGGCTTAACAGCACCCGCATACGAACAGAGATGGATACCTCGGATAAGCTAGTGAGATTGTGTAGTTCGTGTCGGCAACCAGGACACAATCGTACGACATGTCCAAACATAGGACCAAGCAGCAGATCATAGTTTCATTTGTAAACGTGTCCATTTAATTCAATAGTAACTTTCATTTGATTAAAATCAAATTTCATTCTATTACAAGCAGAGGTAACTGCAAATTTCCTTCTATTACAAGCACAGTTAACTTTCATAAATTAAACAAACATAACAACAAAGTAAATACATAAAACAAAACACTAGAACAGAGCGTCTACGATATCAAGACCATCAACTTTATCTCCTTTGGTGTCAACATCATCACAAGGACGCCATAAAACAAAACACTAGAACAGAGCGTCTACGATATCAAGACCTCCTTTGGTGTCAACATCAACATCATCACAAGGACATTCCACAGGAGCACCTCGGAAGCTTTGTTGCTGAAAATATAGCAAAGGATTGATCCTCCTCAAGGATTGAACCCAGGCTAGCAAGGTGAAATGTGCATTTGATGACAAAGTGATTACCACTGGGGTGGCTATACATCCATTGATGAATGTCACCCCAAAAATATATAAGGGAAGTTTAAAACCCAAGCTGGGCAATTTAGCAAGCAAACCAATTTATTTTAAATTTATAATTTCATAAATTTTTTTAAACTTTTAAACTTAATTTTTTTTAAGTTTATTAATAATATAAAAATAATTAAAATCAAAATCAAAATATAAATACATTAAAATTTTTTCAAACTTAAATTAAAATTATAAAATGTATTAAGTTGAAAAACGAAACAAACCCTAAAAAACAAACCTAATTCGCCAATTGAATGGACGAAAGCCCACAAAGCCAATCCTGCAAAGCCCATTCGCCACTCCATTTAACGAATTAGTTCAAAGCCAATTTTGCCTGTTTCGCCAATTCATCTGGCGAATGCACGTTGAACCAAATCCAAACCTTGTCATTTTGATAATATTTTTGAAACAATAATTTGTTTGGTAAATAAAAATTATAACATTGCTATTTTAAAAAAAATTCGCAAAAGGTTCACTATTTAAAAAAAATATTTTTGTTGATTAATGTATTTCATAAAAGTAATTTTTAAATTATATTTACAATTATGACAGAATTTAAAAGTAGAGCGCAATTAGAGACGTGTTTCCTCTTTCTCTATAAAGCAACAAACGGTAGCTTCTTGAAATTAATCACATTAAATAGAGACCAAATTGATATTTGTTTCTTCTATAGTCCTCTTTGATCCTTGTTTATAAAATCAAATCTACAGAGAAAAATATCTAACGCGCTAGATCGATCTAATTTCTTACGCTAAGCAAAAATATGACGAATAATTTGCTCTCATCTTCAACTCTGCCAATCACCATATGCGCTACGTTGCTGTTTCTCTTCGTTCTCTTTTGGCTACGTAGAAGCAACCGTAGTAAAACTGGTGTCGGAGCCAAAAAGACACCACCAGAAGTCGCCGGAGCTTGGCCTTTAATCGGTCACCTCCACCTCTTAAGCGGGTCCCAGCCACCTCACGTCACGTTGGGAAAGTTAGCCGACAAATACGGACCGATCTTCACCTTACGCTTAGGTGTTCATCGAACCTTAGTCGTAAGCAGTTACGAAATGGCGAAAGAGTGTTTCACAGTAAACGACAAAGCGTTTGCTTCCCGACCAAAATCTGTAGCCTTTGAAATTCTAGGGTATTTTTGCTGTATTTCATTGCTGATGTATTGATTGGTTTCCTGACTGTATTGTTTGCTGTTTACCCTGCTGGGTTGAAAGTGAAGCCTGTTCACTTTCGCCTATTGTTTTCTAGGTTCGAGGTTGAGTGGGACTCCCTTGCCTCGCTTGTGCTGTTGCATCCATGCATTTTACTGTTTTACTGTATATATCTGATATTATTTCTGTTTCTGCCTATCCCTTAGGATCTCTGTTTCTCTCTGCGCAAGAGAGGAGCATGATAGACACTAGGTCTTAACCCATGCATGATAACATTAGGTTAGTTTGTTTCCCTTCGCAACCGTAGGTTAGAGTTCTGTCTCTTTCTTTCTCAAAACAAACAGAAAAATACAATAAAATTTCAAACACAATAAAAGACACTTCTTCCGTAAAAGAATGTGAACTCATCAAAACGTCATTTTTGTCCGCTGGGACTGTTAATCAGAAAAACCTTTTTCAGAAGGAATAAAATCAATCAAGACAGACTTGTGTCGTACGTGGCCCGAACTACGTTTGCTCTGATCTTCCATGCTGTGCGGAAGTACGTAGGCATAGGATGCGATATCCTAGCGAGCAACCTTCCCCTCCTTTCCCGTAGGTAGGCGAACTACGTTGACTCTGATTTCTCGTTCCAGACGGGAATACGTAGGCATAAAGTGCGATACTTTGCCGAGTCATTTTTATTTTCATTTTATTTTCTTTTTCACCCTTGACCTATAGTTTAGATAGAATAACAATCCATACCCGAAAACAAGCGTGGATCCCATCGAGTACGATGGACGTGAGGGGTGCTAATACCTTCCCCTTGCGTAACCGACTCCCGAATCCAGGTTTTGGTTGCGACGACCATACCTTTCCCGTGATGTGCGAGGTTTACTCTGAGCGTTTCCTTTCCCTCCCGTGGGATAAATAACGCACGGTGGCGACTCTTCTGTTTAGCCGGCGCCGATTTTCGCAGTAGCGACAGCTGGCGACTCTGCTGGGGAATAGCAGATGTGCACAGTATGATCGGACTTTCTGCTGGAGTGTGAATACTTGCATACTTGTATATCAGCTTTGCGTAGCTTCCTCTTTTCAGGAGTTACATCCCGTGTACAAAAAAACTCCGCCCATTCAGGGGCCCAATCAATGAAAATGTGTTATTCAGTACTTGATGCCTGTTCTTTACTGTTTTGCGCATGATAAAACGCCTAAGTTTATTGAAGCTAGCACGAGTATAACATCACTGGCCCTTGCCAACAATTGCTAAAGCTTTGAATTGACTGAGTGTAACGTCACTAACCTGAATCGATTTGGATTGCATAGGCTTGTCGTGCTTTGTTTGTGTTGTTGCAGGTTTCATAACTGTACGAGGAAGGTGATCAAAAGATTGCAATAGTGAAAAGCTTGATCCCCACGCAGGTCATGCATGTTCTTCCTGAAGAAGGATAGAATTCCCCAGCTAGCCGTAGCTTATCCAAAGGACGTGCTCCAGAGAAGTTAATCGACCTCAGCAGAGTTGGGTGATTCCAAGATCGTAGGGCTGTATTCAGACAGGTTTATCGTCCCCGCAGGGTCATGCATTCTCCACCAGCGGAGTCAGTTAATTTTTCCCAAGATAATCCAGCCATCCCCAGAGGAGTTCTCCTTTCAGCAAATGTTCTTTCCTTCCAGTGGAACTCGAAGACTAAGACTCTCCCAGGCAGAGTCGATGGTGGTTCCTGTCACTTATTTTGTCAGAGATACTGGTGATATCGGTTCACATTCTAGCAGAAAGATCAATCATACCAGGCGCGTTCGTATTGGCGCACCATGCGCAAGATAGCGACCGTTCATGTCCTTTCCACCCAACGCACAGAGACGTTGCTGAAGCACGTGATGGAATCTGAAGTGAAGATAGCAATGAAAGAGAGTTATGGCTTTTGGGAAAAGATGAAGAACGAGGGTGGTTCTGAAAGGGCAATTACGGAAATGAAAAAATGGTTTGGGAATATAGCGTTAAACGTTATGTTTAGAACGGTGGTGGGAAAACGGTTTGATGGTGACGAGGAAGAGAATCAACGGATCAGAAAAGCGCTCAGGGATTTGTTTGATCTCACCGGTTCGTTTGTTATATGTGACACGTTGCCGTATTTGAGATGGTTGGATTTGGATGGAAAAGAGAAGGAAATGAAGAAAACTGCGAAGTTGTTGGATGAGTTCGTTTGCGTGTGGCTTGATCAACATAAACGGAATAGAAGACCTGCAGGCGGCGAACATGACTTCATGGACGTTCTTCTTTCCACCGTTGATGATCAAGATTTGGACGGTCGCGATTCCGACACTACAATCAAAGCTACTTGTCTGGTATGGCTTTTTTATTTTGAGGGTAATTTTAGAATTATTAATTCGCTTCATTTCATAATAATGATTTCATTGTACAGAATTAATAAAAATTATTATCCATCCACCCACCCTCCTGAACAACTTTCAACGTTGATCGACTGAGACCGACAACATATTTTTAGAAAAATATTACTTTCAGCCAAATCACCTCTAAGATATCTATTAATAAATTATATTTTTTATATAATGATTTTAATTATTTATTTGTATATTTCAATCTGTCACTAATAAATTATAATAATACCATTGACAATTCTATAATTTAGCCAAATCACCTCTAAGATATCTATTAATAAATTATATTTTTTATATAATGATTTTAATTATTTATTTGTATATTTCAATCTGTCACTAATAAATTATAATAATACCATTGACAATTCTATAATTAAGAGTTTACTGGATTTATTAAAAAACATAATTTAGAATTTTATTTTAAATGTGACATATAAAGAAACTGACCGATGAAGTAATATTTTTCCAAAAAGAACATCCCGTTAAAGTGAAAGTTTGTTGGCAGTGGCACTCTAACCGCTCTTGATTTACTAAAAAAAAGTACTATTATATTCATAGAAGAAACAAATGTTATCACCATATATATATTATCAATGACTATCTAGTTCTAGATGTGCTTGGAATTTTCTCTTTCACACCATTTTGTTAGAAAATTGGACAAGACATAGTTCTTACAGAAATGATAATACCACACCCAATTTTGACACCCCAAACAAATAGTCAAAAAAAGACAGCCTCTTTTAGAACACCATTCCAAGTTATATTTCAGGATTGTTGAACTTGTCTTTACATTCCAATTTTTCAATCTGAACAAGTGTAAAATCATTAAAATATTTTGCAGGCACTAATTCTAGCAGGTACAGACACTACAGCGGGAACATTAACTTGGACACTATCATTACTTCTCAATAATCGTCAAGTCTTAAACAAAGCCACTCAAGAATTAGATGCACAAATTGGCATGGAAAACATGGCAATAAAATCCGATTTCACAAAGTGTGAATATATTCAAGCCATCATCAAAGAAACATTGCGTTTGTACCCACCAGCGCCACTCAATGTTCCTCACGAGTCCATTGAAGATTGTACCGTTGGTGGTTACCACGTTCCAGCTGGCACGCGTCTCCTAACCAACTTTTCAAAACTTCAACGAGATCCTATGTTATATTCAGATCCATTGGAGTTTCGACCGGAGAGATTTCTCACGACACACAAGAATGTTGATGTCAAGGGCCAGCATTTTGAGTTGATACCATTTGGTTCTGGTAGAAGAATGTGCCCTGGAATTTCATTTGGTCTTCAACTAATGCAAATAACACTTGCTACTTTGTTGCATGGTTTTGACATAGTGACTCCTGATGAAGGACCAGTTGATATGGCTGAACATAACGGGCTCACTACAATCAAAGCCTCTCCTCTACAAGTTATTCTCACTCCACGCTTGTCTGCCCAAGCTTTTAGTTAAAATTAATGTTCAACTTATAGGGATAAATAAACATGAATTTTCCTCAGCTTGGTGTAGTGTGATATGCAAATACAATGGAGATTCAATTTCTAAATAAATATGCATATTAAGTTAAACTCAGTTTTTTGTTTTTGCTGAAATTCATTAAAGACTTTGCAAATTTATCATAACCTTGTAAACATTCATTTTATTATTTTTTGTCAAACAATTTTTTTAATATATTTTTAATAATATATGAAACCAATAAAATTTATTAAATGCCTCAAAAAATTATTAAAATTTAATTTCAAAATTTTGTTGGATGGATTCACTTTTCGAATGAGACTCATTAATTATAAATTTTAAAAAATAATAATAAAAAGAAAAACATGTGTCTACGTGTGGATTACAAAATATATTAGAGAACGCAATTAGGAAAATACTTTTTCGATCCTTATATGTGTATATCATATTCTTAAAAATTTAAAATTATTTTTCATGTGTCTGAAAATACATTTTCGAAAGCATTCAAATTACATAAAAGAAAAATACGTTATTATGAGATCCACTCTATTTTGATCAAAATATGGTTCGGAGATACATATCTGTATGTCATTTAGGTGTGTCCCAAAATGAATATCAAAAATCTCCCCTCCAAAAATTTTTTTGTAAGCGTGTTAAATACAAAAGAAAATTATTTCGGAGATGGGTCTCTAGAATCCTCCTTAATAATATCATAGCAACACCATTATCAAAACATTACAATTTTTTACCAGCTATTAAAGTAAAATCAAAGTAACATGAAGTTATATTAAAGTTAAAGGAAAGTAAAAAGTCATGCATTAATTAAAAAAGGCAAGACCATACATAGCATTTGTTTGAAAATTCAGAAGAAAAAAAAACACATCCAAATATAAACTACAACGTATGTTGAATCTCCTGCCTCCTCTGTCATCTGTACTGCACGACATTTCATGACTCGACAACCATGCACTCCACGAGGGCCAATTGGAAACTGTCATCTTCAAAGAGTCATGACTTTGTGTCTGCTTTACTCATCTGTGCAATACACCGACAGACTGCCGTCACATTTTCTGTCTACTCGTTGTGAACCTTAAGTACCTCCTAGTTATCTGACTTAAATGGTCTTCCAGGAATGTATGATGTCATGATAGGGTGTGACACCTTATAGAATCAGGTCATATAGTTGTCTGCATAGGCTTACTCTGCAAGAGCCACCTCCCTACGTTACTCCTTTGATACAAAGTGACTCTTGAAATCATCCAGTATCACACCAAAATCTCTGTGGCGGACACCGGAAGAAGCAGACCCTGAGGGGTGTCTCAAAATAATATGTGTTATAAATGATTAATTAGTTTGTTATTTTTATTGGTAATTTAAGTTTAGATCTTTAGTAAGGTCCAATAGGTCAAAATACTCTATTTAAAATGATTAGCACTTGTATATTCATAATAATAATAATAATAATATATCAAATTATTCAGCTTTGATATGGTATCACGAGCTCTCGTTCGAGAGGGTTTCTCTTCTGCATAAAAAACCATAGCCGCCTTAATTGCGGTCCTTTGGTTTTAAAAAAATCATCATTGTGTGACACTGTTCATTGCATTGTGCGACACTGTTTAATATAATGTGCGCTACTGTTTATTGCACTGTTGCAAACATTGTTCATCGCACTGCTGCAACACTGTTCATCTCTGTTTTTTGACAGTATTCATCGATGTTATTTGGAGTACTTCCAGCACTGTTCAGCGCTACTCGTTCGACACTGTTCACGATACTTTTCAGCATTTTTTATCGCTACTGTTTGTGGTACTGTTCATCCCCATTGTTATAACAACCTCGTACTTGTGGTTTTTTACTTGCATTTGTTTCTAAATTCTTTGAACAAATGACAATAAAGATGAAACAAATACATATATGTCTGAATCAGAATTACCTATTATTCCTCAAGTTTACAAATTGAATGGAAAGAATGATTTAAAGTGGTCTCAACTCGTGAAAATGACCTTGAAAGGTAAGGGAAAAGGAAAACGCCTTACAGACGCACCTCCCAAAGAGAAAGATCCCAAATTTGACAAGTGGGATACGGAAGATTCAGTGATCATTGCATGGTTATAGGCTTCAATGACTCCAGAAATTAGTGACACTTGTATGTTCCTAAGTACAGCATAAGAGATTTAGAACGCATTATAAGAAACTTATTCTAAAGCCAAAGATGTTGCCCAAATATATGATGTGAAGGTGAAAACACTAGGAACTAAACAAGGCAACAAAACAGTTACAGAATACGTTAATCATCTAAAAGCCTTATAGATGGAGTTAGACCACTATAGATTTATCAAAACCGAGTGTACAACAGATGCAACAAAACTTAGGGAGTCATTGAGCAAGACAGAGTCTACGACTTTCTGGTAGGGCTCAACTCTGACTTTGACCATGTTAGAGTACAAATTCTTGGCAAAGAAAAAGTATCGAACATTAATGATGTAGTGTCTATAGTGAGGAGTGAAGAAAGTAGAAGGGAATTAATGTTGACACCACCATCTATGGAAAAATCAACAATGCTAGTTGAGAAGAGTTCAACCATGTTAGTTGATTAGAAGAAATTGGGTGAAACCTATGTTGAGAAGAAGGGCGAAGGGGTGTGGTGTACTTATTGCAACAAGCCTCATCATACTCGAGAAAAATGTTGGAAATTGATTGTTCGGCCTTCTAATAGAGAATGGGGACAAAAAAGAGACTTATCTAAAAAGGGAGAACATGCACACATGGTTGGAAGCATTAATGGAGACAATCTAGAGGGAGGGGTGCACCTTAACCTAAGTGAAGTAGAAAAAGCGAGATCTCTCCTTAGTAAGTTGGAGAAACCAACAAGTACTTGTTCTTTAACACATCCAGGTACATTTCTATTATCTTTTCCATTTTGCAACTCTCCGTTTTTGTTTGGACTTAATGCCTCGGATATACCCTTTAAACAATACTGGATATTAGACTCTGGAACCACTGATCATATGACACCCTTACCCACACACTTCTCCACCTATTCACCTTTCCCCAGTAACAAAAAGATATCCACTACAGATGGAACCCTTATAACTGTTGCAGGTGAAGGAACAATTAAACTTAATTCATCCATGACTCTTATTAACGTCCTTCATGTCATACCCCAAATTTGTCCTACCCTCTCGTCCCACTAAGTCTCTGGATGGAATCGCAACCTTTCTTTAGATGACCGTCAAACTACTGGCCATGATCATTAGGGGTTCTTGTTTTCAAGACCTTTCAGGTACCCCTTGTGGTCATAATCCTTGGCAAGAAGTTTTTGGAGGCCCAAGTGGAACTTTTTCCCAATACTATGCAATGTATAATGAATTAAAGGCGGTTGGGGTCAAATTTCCGCCAAGACAAGAAAATAGTGCGTCATCCACCACCTCCTCAGGCTTAACGAATTATTTATTCTGTTGCAGAATTTGATGATGTTGCTATTCAGGATTCTTTTCAATTAAATTTATTTAATCTTAGAAGGTGGATGATTAAAAAATCAGATTCATTGGGGGTTTAAGATGGTGGTGATTAACGCGGCTGCACGTGCCGATAGAGCAGCCAATTTTTTTTCATTGGTCCAGGTTGGGCTATTAATATAAGGTTATGGGATATCATTAACACGGGTCTTGAACAAGCAGATGATACATTGAAGGTACTCAAGAAGCACTCAGGCAGTAAAATGCCAAATCACAACCGTTGGCACTTTTCTTTACTAGAGGCCCTTTCTAAAAAATCGTGTCAAGTGTATCATTGAGCGTGGTATATGGCACCAAACGGTCAAGATGATAAAGAAAAGCCGGATATAAGTGTGAAGATATTAATTTCAATAGAGACATGCAAATACTGAAATTATATTGAATTAATTTTACAAGATGACACAAAGCTTCATGATTTGAAAGTACAAATTCAATAAAGGATAATTTCAAAAGTTTTGTCATGGTACAAAGTGACTGTAAGCTAATAAATAATGGAAAGAACACGCCAAGCTGCTTTAAGGTCTGCGTAAAAAGGGTGTTTTGATTTGCTCCAAGTGACTTCAGCTGCTTTTGTTGAGTTTCTCCATCGTGTCCTCTTATGCAATTTGAGACTATACCTGAAAGCCATAAAGAATGTTAATGCACCAGATCCTTGTGCGGGACCTAAGCAGAGCCAAGTCCACAAAACTTCCAAAACTTTGTACCATACAGCCTGTAAAAAAATCACACAATACATCCGATGAACGACAAGCAATAACAAACTGAAGCATGCCCAAACTGACCCCTCCTTCTAGCGCCATATTCTTGTTGCGTGTGCACCTGAAACAAGAGCTAAAACATGTCAAGCTGTTTGAAAGTGAGATTACCCACGGTACTGAATTACAAGAAGTTCGACTTAATTCACGAATACCAAAACTTATCTTACAAGATCCTGAAATTGCCGAATGCAAGTCTGCTATCTCAAGTTCACCTGGATACGTTGTTGTTCATTGCGTTGGAACACCCGAATTTATGGCTCCGGAAGTGTATGAAGAGCATTACAACGAATTGGTTGACATATACGCTTTCAGAATGTGTATATTGGAGATGGTCACCTTTGAATATCCTTATAGCGAATGCAATCACCCTGCTCAAATTTACAAAAAAAGTTGTCTCTGGGAAAATGCCCGAATCACTTTACAAAGTAAATGATCTAGAGGTTAAGCAGTTTGTAGAGAAATGCTTGGCAACTGTACCCCTTAGGCTTTCAGCTAGGGAACTCTTAGATGACCCTTTTCTCCAAATTGATGATTATGGATCTGACTTGAAAGAGTTTCAGTATCAAAGAGGTTGCTATGAGGTTACACTAACAATTAGACAAACTGTGAATGGAAGTTATAACAATAGCTTAATGAGTTTGTACACTGATAATTCTGGTGGTTATCAAAATGATTTTTGATCTCTTTGATTGTGAAGAGGATGATAATTTGGATGAAG